TGCTACGAGGCGGTCTGGGGAAAAGTTGTACTGTCCTCTGCGACAGGAGCGTGAAGGAAGTAAGGTGTTTCCCCCAGGCGACCAGCATGTTCATATTCATGGAAGCAGTGATGCTGCCTTCCCCTGAGGAAGGACGGGTTAGAAAAGGTTGGCCCCAAATCCGCAAACTCCGATCGGTTGACCGTGACCGCCGGCGCATTATCCAATACGGTCGAAATGATTTTGAAACCAAAGAGTCCGATGCTGCTCAGAAGCACCTGCTGTGCGCAGCCGCATCAGGAATGAGACAGTAATGCCTTATTCCCTGTGCCCTCGGGTCAGGCCAACCCTCTGCAGCCGAGCAGGTCGGATTGTCGGGTCATCGGCTCCGGGCAGGGTCCCCGAACAAAACCCTACGTCCTCCCACTGCCTTGTGGGTCAGACTTTTGAGTCAAAGGCTCAAGCTGGGGTACCTCAATCAAACGTCCTTCCTCGGCCTAGGCAACCTTGAAGTATCATTTGCCCGCGCAGTTCTGCGTTCACGGATGTCCCTTCCACCGCACAAGAAGTGACATTAGAAGTTTTGGAACGCTGTATCTTTGAACTTGCTTTAGCTCTGACGGTGGCGCAACAAACAATTTGAACACACGAACTTCAAAAGACAGAATTGCGTTTCTCAATTTGTACCACTTGTGGCTTCCAAAATTTATATCACTACTTCCCAGGGAAAGCGTATATCAGACTACAGTACGGGCTGTATTATTGTATGTCCACAAAACTTGACCACTTCGGAGGTATGGTCTGTGGCACCCCCAGGTCATTGACCTACGATTTCTCGGAAGCATATCTGGAACTAACGAACTTGCAGTAAAGTTATTAGAAAGCGGGTTTTTGGTGAAGCAGTCGGCAATTCTCCGGCACTACAAGCTTAAGTTGGCTTCGCCATGCGTTACACATACCGAGTTATCGTCTGCTGAGAAGATTATTACGTGCCTAATTCCAGGTAATTGAGTCCTTGGGGTGGACAACATACGACTAGGTAAATGAAAATGATGGATTTCAGGACAAACTTCGTTCGACTTTGTCGTTTAACAAGTATGTGTCCACATGTCCTGTCAACGTCCGGAGCACTATCTGTCGAAGAGGCCATATAACGGCCCTAATTTTTCACACTGGAATCCTCAGGATAATCAACTCCAAAACCTCAGGGACTACACTCTCTGTCAGACGTAACTGCTTGTCTGTTTGCACCAAACTCATTTACTCACAGTGAACTGATCGCCATGATTTGCAGCTCTCCATATCAGCCCGTCTATTTGTTTATTCATATTGTATGTATTACGACTGAAATTGGAACACTACAATTGAAGTACCTTATGCGTTGTACCAGGTACACTAGTCAACTGTCATACCGAAGTTCTACCACGGGCATAGTGGATACATCACGCCGCCACATCAGCTGACTCTTCTCGACTGGCAGTGACTTGGCTCATTTGTTTTCCCATCTTTATTCAAGTGAGACTTCACAGCTTGGACGCACGAATCTCTCACGAGGTTACGCCACCTTGGGGACATTATTTTGCCAGGTGACCCTGTTTCAATCAGGAAAGATTTTCATCTGATTTCCGTGAATGTTTTGTGGCTCTTACCATGGTCATAATCTAAATATTTCAGTGAGATTTCAGTGGCGTGGCCTGAGTTGAATGACGAACAGGACGCTTGCAACCAATAGACTGCTCGAAGTTTTCCCACAGGTAGAAACAGGCTTGCAGACCACTGGCTATTTGTGGTTGACGGTTCGATGCATGATGGAAATAATGCATGTTGTGGGGATGGTGCCAGTAAGATTAAGACGGTTTGTGCTGTAAGAGATTGCTTCTCATGGAACAACCGCTGGAGATGCTGTCTGGCGACAACGGTGTGAACCTGGGTAACAGCGTTTGTGTTGCTTGTGTTAGCGACGCTTAATCAGCCAAGCCAGTCAGTGGTCAGTTGACTTGGCGTTTTCGTACGGTCAGTTAATTGCAGAAAATAGTTAAGCTTTTCGATTTACCCAATCATGGTGTGACGCTGAAGGTGCCAGTAAGCGGAACACTGGAACGGGGAGCGAAACTTGAGCTTCGCGAAAACACAAAGTGGAAAGGATGGTATGAGGACGTTTAGAAATCATCTTTGTTTCGTTGCTGATAAATAACATGTATATAATATCAAGAAAAGGTTACTAGTGGAAATGTATGAAAAGCATACCTAGAGACAGAGTATCCATTGAAACTACCAAGTCCGGCACTTCCTACATGCAGACGAACGAGATGTTTGAAATTAGCACTATATGTATGATCTCCAATTAACAACCGCATAAGCAATCTCTTGACTGTTCGATGTCTTTGTCTTGGATACCCCCAAAAGGTTGAGCAGAGGAAAGTACAGGTATACTTTGGTGACCAATTAGAAAGTGTTCGTTTGTAGGGGAAACGCTTTACTTTAGCGAAAGTAATGGATATCTACATATTGCCAATTCCTAGGAATAAGGAAAACTCTGGCAACCATTGTCATAAAATTGTCATTGTCATATATTCACGTCCAACAACCAAACTTGAACGGTTTACGGTGAAAACAACATGACAAGACAAGAAATATGGAATTTTCCAATTTGTTCCTGACCATTTTACCACCATAAGCGTTATGCTTCGTATGAATCTTCATTAGCGAATTATTTGAGAATGGAAAGATAGACATCACAGATTTAGTTGTTTTAGTTTAGTCAGTCTATGGAAAACCTGATCTGGAACTGAGGGTTTTCGTCGCAGCAGCTGGAGAATCGTCTCAAGTTAAAAGGTAGTAGCATTTGGTTAGCAAAAGTACTGTAATCTCAATAAACATGCTTAAGTCTTGTATTTGAGCTTCAAAAGTGCAGTATGTGTTCCCGTAAAGCATCCAGTATTCACACAAGGCATTTTGCTGGCAGACAGTCGTTCACCAGATGGACGCCTGAGCTGAACGGGACAATGTGTTTCCTGTGGAAAACAGCCCCATGTGGTTTTTATTAATTTACTGAGACTATCGTATATTTCATATTGACTTCCGGGTTGATCATTCGACCCTGATGCTTATATGCAGTGACTTTTTGACGTTCTTCTGAACAAAGCACGAATACATGATTTCCGCCGAGGTATCCCACATTGCAAGGCACTTAATTCGTATTGTTGGGCAAATTTCACTTTCAGTGTAAGAACTCAGTTACACACAAGGTTGCTGCTTAGCCAACTAAGTAGAAAGAGACAGACTTGTCAAGAGTTCCGTCTCGGGAGGATACGAATAGGTAGACCAACTTAAAGCAGCATGTTATGTGACGCACAGAAACATCGCTACCTTTCTGTGCGGCGGCTGCCTTTAGTAGACACCCCGACCAAACTTGTTGTGTACAGTTGGATGCCAGGTCGATTTGATGCATTTGGCACGTTTGAAATGCCTCTTATTCTGAAGTCCTATTTTCAATAACCCGACAAATGTCTAAAAAGCATAAAGGATAGAAATTTCGTCCTGTAAGTGAAGCCAGTCTATGCCGGAAAACTGAGCTTTGTACAACTGTTTTGTCGTTATTGAAAGTCATCAGAAGTGCGCATCTCAGAACTCTGTCTATCTTGCGATGTGCCGGCTAGTAGTTTGAACACTTAACTCCTCGGCCACGAGCGGCTGATTACCAATGTGTTTTGTTCATTATTTATTAATTACTCCTGTAAGTAAGCCAGTCTATGCCGGAAAACTGAGCTTTGTACAACTGTTTTGTCGTTATTGAAAGTCATCAGAAGTGCGCATCTCAGAACTCTGTCTATCTTGCGATGTGCCGGCTAGTAGTTTGAACACTTAACTCCTCGGCCACGAGCGGCTGATTACCAATGTGTTTTGTTCATTATTTATTAATTACTTATATTCAGCTACGGGTGGTTGAACCACACCGCGTTTATCTTGCAACCACGTTGAAAATGCGCAGTTCATGTTGCGTTTCAGCGATAACTTACGAGCGATAGGGTAGTATGATTTCCTGTTTTCCCGCCTTTCAGTGCATACCATATGTGTTTTGTAGGTTCAGAACTGCGACTTTAAACGGCGTTGTACCTCGTGAATTTCGATAACTCTTGATCGGTGTTCTTCATACACACATCAGAACATAGCGTAGCCAGGTTCCAGTCAGATCTCTTACCTGGAGTGAAATGCAATTATACGTTGGTGGACATGCGTATAAAATGACAGCGAAGTTCTTCCAGACGAGGTGCTCGTAAGAAGAACTTATTATAGTACTTTGGTTCGGGTAGATTTGAGTGGAGCGAAGTTAATGAAGCAAAATCTGTGGCCACGATTTACCCAACAGTACTATGCACGTACGGCGTAAAAAGCTCTCAACACGCACTGTTCAAATTCGAGCGTAAATGACAAGCCAGATAACACCGCGGGCTCGTATGTGGACAACTTCATTCGATCCCGTGGACATCTTGAAACTGGCCGTTAGCCTTTGTGCGTTCTACCGGGAGCTGGTAAAATCATTTTTCATTGAAGATGTCTCTGAGGACATTATCTTGAGTCCGTTAGCTTGTACAGCCAGGTTACAATATTGTCCACTGTGATATCAACAGTTGGCGTAAGAACCATAACTAATCCGCCTCATTACCAAGGTAGTGGAACTAACAATGGGGTTACAGGAATAAACACATCTGTCCGTGATTCGTCGAAGTAGTAGTCATCCGGCGCAAAACCGAAAAACGATAGACGTTCCATTTATCCGTTTCTTACATAGTCGCGCACTCCTGTTCACACTGTATTTTCAAATGTCTTTGGGTATCGCGTGTAACAAACATATTTCGTCGCCCGTGGGTCCGTATATTAGTCAACTAATCCGTCTTTCAGATACAGATTATGTATCAAAGTACAGTGTATCGGGCATGTTGTTACCTCTACATTTTATGTTGGCTTTCAAGATAAATGACTCTCCGTGTGATCTTACTCTTGTTTCTTCCACTAATCAGGTTGCAGCGTGACTACGAAAAGCTGTTGTCTCTCACCAACCCAGTGTCGACATCAACAACTGATTTTTCGGCGAATTCCCCCTTAACTGTGTCCGTGGGACAGTTAAGAGACACAGCTTCGTCCTTTATACGTTCTAAACCAAACCTTATCCTTCGGCGTTCGTGCGATGTGTTGTCGTCTGAAGGTGTCAGTTCATATTTAATGTCAAACGGGCCCATGGCGCAAATATCTCCTCAACATTCAGATGCAGCGTCGTCACTTGTGTCCAGCGATCCTGTAACCAACACAATATCTTCTAGCTCCGATGAAATTGCCTCACCCCTCAGTCCTCTAACCTTAACCTTGGCACCACAGGCCACTTCCTTACTCTTCTCTGACTCTCGCTCATCAACCCCATCCCCACCACCACCTCCCCCCGTTCAACTTCACTACCCTTATCCAAGCATACAAAGTCACCTTCATCAACCTCAGTCACGAACTACATCGGGAACCACTCACTTTTTGTCTTCTGCCAGTGGTCGTCCGTTGTCTGTACCACCGTCCCAGTCACCCCAGCCAAGGAGTTGTTCGATCACACAATCAGTCACCTATCAGCACTCCTATCAGAATTCCACACACCCGATCAATCGCACACAATCCGCTTCCAGTACAAGTTGTGTGCTTGTTCCAAGGAAAACAACAGTCGCCAATCCCTCAGTCCATCATTCCCATACGTCAACTCGTTCACCCAACTACCAGCCACCATATTCCACCCATTTTGTAGCACCCCTAACAAAGCATCCATCTTCAGGTCCTCCGACATTTGTTCACCGTGGCCATGCAGGACCGTCTGTGGGACAGCATGCGTCAGCTACTCATCACTTTCCATATTCTCCAAGTCGTATTACTCCATCTGGCGGTCCTATACATTCTAGCATGAGAACTTTGCGTGGTTCTTCATCAGCCACTCCCTCACCAGCTGGCCTGAGTGGGACGAACCCATCGATCGGAACGGGACATTTGTGCATTAATGGCAAGTAAGATAATTCCAAATATCACATCTGTTTATGATCTGGGCCTTGGTGCTTCTAATGCCTCCTGAATTTGAGGTAGTTTCATCGGACCCTCTATCCGCCTTATTACCAATGTGTTCCTGGTCTAGTTTTCGACACTTATCACACCCCAGATTTATAGACTATCAATAAAGGAATGATGAAGAAGCTTTTATGGCCGTTTTGACCGTTTGCCAAGCGATGTGATCAACTCCAGTCGACTTCCCTCGTACCGCGCCCAAATGCATGACAAATTCTTAACTAGTACGACTGCGGTATTTATCAACCAACATCTACGGTGTTGGGTTATTTTGGTGTCACGTGCAATCCGTTTTTCCTTTCAGTTTTATTTCTCACTGACCCCGTTTTATTTTTTCATCGCGGAACATTTTTATAATTTGTTTTTTCTCGAGGTGCATTATTTGCTCCACTTTCTTGTATATGTACATCTATTCTTTATCCACATCTGCAGCTCCAACGATTGTTGTCTTGTTATCTCTTTCAACCAGGATCCTGCTTTTTCTGGGATGCGTGTTTTCTGGTTTGAATCCGATAACCAGTTATTTTTACATTCGGATCGATACTGCTCCCACACTACTGACTTCCCATTGACAGAGAAGTTCAGTATTGTGCTGTAAAGAAAGTATTCAATTCGTTTTCCATAGGTTGGTGCATTTGCATTTTTCAACTACGCATGCCTCCTGTATGATGCTAATTCGCCATTGTTCAGCTGATATCATGCCCTCATTGTCCTTTAATTTTGGGGGATTTATGTTGCGTGCAAAAACTTCTTTTCGACTGCGCTAGTCCGCCTTGACGGTCAGTGTATCAGTCTTACACATATTTCTGAACAAGAATATTGCGGTACTTGCATAGGACGTTGGAACTGTTTGTAGTTACATCACCCAAATGAAGCAAGGTGAAGTTCACGTGACTGCAGATTTTACAGCTTCATGTTTGTGCGCTGTAAGTCTAGGGCGCGATTAGTTGTCTGAAAATTTAAGCACATGGTGTTATGTCCTCTGCTAAGAATGTGATTGACAACTGTCGCAGGCGGGAGACTTGAATGTGTTTTGTGCTGAGCTTTGTTGTTTGGATTAATGGATTCTGTGAGGTGAACTTCCCCAAATTAAAGGTGTCTGAGCGGTGTTCACGGTCTACAAACCCGCTCTATTTTCTGTTTGTTAGGCGCTGGATACCGTTTCGCTTTCAGATGAAGTCAGTTGTGCGTATCTGTTGCTTTACACGGTGTTGGACTCCACATTCCTTGCAATCTAGATGCTTCAGCACTATCTCACGAGGACTTAAACTGTCCTATCTAAACGAGCGGAAGCCGAGATTTAGTGGTGTGTAGTTTTCAAAGAATGACCCAATAGTTCTGGGGTCGTCTAAACGGGCCACCCATCTATAAGGAATTCCTACTCAATGCTACGGAGGACTGTCCCGTTGCTCTGGCGATTGTTATATCCAGTCGTTCCTGTCAGCACAGCTGAATTTTGCCGCAGTTTAATATTCAGATGAGATCATCATCAAAGGCACCTCAGCGTAGATGAGGCTTACTCCACTCACTTTTTAATGCGATCGTCTACGTATTCCTAAATTTTACAAGTTTTCGACCATGTAACATGCCTTGGAGAGGAAATTCAAGATGGGTCTGTTGGTTGCGATAACTAAATAACACAGGACGTGGGGATTCTGTATCCATGCAATTCGTATTCTCTTGTCGGTACCAAGGGCGATAACCGAAAAAGGGTTTTATAGCAATTTACAAGACCAGATTATTCACAGTATTTCAGGTGAGAAGACTAATGCTGTAACCTACTGTGCCAGAGCAGCACAACGGTCACCTTTCTAACCAGTGAGCCCTAATCAATTTATTTCAGCGGTCTCGATAAACCTCAGAAGACGAATTTTGGTGACGAAGCAGGGCGGTAAGTGCTGAGATGGGTGCGAATTGATGGTTTGTAGAGTGATGTCCGCCCATAGGAGACCGGTGTTTTCCGCTTGGTGGTCAGTCCGGAATTTTGAGAAAAATAATCTCTAACCCAAGAGGACACGTGGACTTTTATTCTGGAGGTCGGACACCTATCGGCTCTTCCAAGGTAACTTCCCCCGCGGTTACACGGAGTGGCATAAACTTCTATTTGCCTCAAAGGGGATGATCTCTTACTGAAGATTATTATAACTCCCAAGTCCGGTTAAGAACCTATAGTTCTGCTTTGTTGGATGTCCCCTTAAGTGCTGGTGCCGAACGTCACATTGCTATTGTCACTTTTGTCTGTTCTGAAGGGGAGCTCGCAGGGACTTTGGAATAAAACTAGTATCCTTTGCTGTGTTAAACCCAACACGTGTGATAATGTTTCAAACGGACCGAACTACGTAGAACTAACTACTTACTTTTCTTCTTCGACGCCGAAATTCACGTGTTGTGCTTGTCCAAGCTGCTGAAATAAGTCGATCAAACCCGACGCTGCACAGACAGACTATTTGGTGTAATTGTTATGCTGTCCTGAACTCACTGATACAACAGGTCATCGTTTTTTTTGTTGATAAGCTAACGCGTGCGGTCGTGTTCCGCTTCAAAGTGATGCTTTTTGAGTAACCACCCTGTCTGTAAGGCGAAATGAGTTCTCTCCGTTTTGTACACTATTTTGGAATGATGTTTACGCACAAAGTCTGTACGGCTATTTGTTTCCATCCAATACTGTGTGTATGTAAACGAATTCACGAAATTTTGACGGTAGTGATCGAGCACTGCCACATGAAAGAATCTAAATGGGCGTTGTTCATTTTTAGCGGATGTGAAAGCCATTGAACCAATTAAGCAAATGCTTCAGTTGAAACGCCACCGGCATGGATTTTTCCGGGTGAAATGTTGGTATGTGCACGGTGCCACTAGGAAATAATTTTGTCTAGCGTATGAGAAGACAGAGTTAACTCACAGCTGCAACTGCTGTCATTCATATCTTAAGGTTGTAAAAGTCGTAATGCAGAATCCTCTCTTCCTAGGCTCATTTTTTCAGTATTTGAAAAGACGAATTTATGACTTTTCCGCATTCATATCCCACTAACTAGTTACCATAGGAAATTACTACTAGATGATCGTATACAGAGTACGTTGAACCCATTTACACTCGGGTGGACAAGAATGATAGTGGTATCAACTGCAATAGGTGCGCACTATGGTTAAAAGCTTAGTTCGGTCCTAGTCACGCATCTCCATCAGCGATAGACAAGTTCCGGCCGGTACGGGACTTAACTTGGTTTGCACGAGCGCCGCGTGATTCAAATAACAGATTAGGCCAACAGTAAGGTGGCTCTAAGTCTGGGGATATTTGTGCCTGTGAACACACAAGCACTCAATCCCTGTGAGGTATGACGCCCGTCTGATATCCACCTCAAGTGTTGGTTTAAGATGTTCGGGTACATGAGGGTTATCACTGTCGGCAAGGAAATAGAGTCGTACCATCCGTACTGCATAGTTATGATTCAGATAGCTCAATTTCAACCATTTATTCAGTAGTCAAGCAATGAACAAGTGTACTTGTTTCTCTTCAAGGTTTAGTGTGTGGCCAAATGGCAGTCATTATTAAACTTCTCCATCAAATTTCTTGAATTATTTCATGTTCAGTAGTAAAACAGTTCGATGAGAAACCTCTCTACAGAGGACATCCGAATTTCGGGTTGGAATATACAACGTAAGAAAATAACTGGGTTCTGACGTCTCTACGTTCGGTAGAGAGCAAGAGTTCTGGAGCATTGTCAACAGCTTCCTCCCAATACGCTTGATGTTTCCGTTAGGTCAGACGGTCTGGTGGTTAGAGCGCGAATTTACTAACGGAAGGTCCGTGCTTCGAACCCGACCCATGCATCTCGACTTCCCCTGTCTATGGTTTGGCAACCTGGCAGTATCCCAGCCTTCGTGCTTCCTTCGGGTTACATGGCAGCTAGGCACCGAAAGGGTACTACATTCCATTCTGGGATTGCTTGCTCCTGATTTACGGCCAACATCGTCTCTCGGGTACGGCGCTTCTTCTAACCTGATATGCGGCGTGCTTTCTCGCCAATATGACTTTTGTTTCGTGAGTGATGAAGGTATAGTAGTGCTCATGACACATTCGTGAGTAATCTTCGTCACAACGCTGCGGAATTGCGGGCGCTTGTACGAAAACAGCTATAGCCTCTTACCACTGACATGTTTTCCAAAACATCATTCCAGTTTATTCCTAATGTTCATTCAGCGGTTGTGGACACGGGCTTGCTGTTCGGGAGCGATCCACACGATAGCATTTATATGACGTCATTATCCACTCGTTTATCACTATCCTCGGGGTTAGTACTTAAGAGACATAGTTTGGAGGAAACGAAAAGCTCGAGCAATTGGCTGTTTTTTTTTTCGTGCAACACACTATAGGACATCCGGATAGTTTATCCAGACTTAGGTTGACAGCCTAACTGATGATTCAACAGCTGCTGGTAGGAGGACTTGTGTACGCAAATCTGTCGTTTTACTAAGATTCTCCGCAGAGGCTGAAACTGTAATTTTTTATGGTCTATGGCCTTGGGCGTAACTATATTTTGCGACTTTCACATTCCATGAAATTTTCATTGATCTCTCTGTGCTCCCACCCATCAACTACCGTTGGGTGCGGATTTGGTGAGCGATTTCGTAGTACTATAATGGTGCTGATAAGGTCCTTGATGAAGATTATACCCGCACGTTTGCAAGTTCGTCGGAGGCCAGGAACAATAAGGCGCACAAATATAAGTCCATGTGGCCGCACCACAGTCCCACCCTACGATTATCGCCTTGTTTGTAGAATAGCCGCCCTCTGTAGACTATCGGGTCGACCGCGGCCAATGAAAAAAGTTCTTACCCTCTGTCAAATATGACGCCAATCAAAGTTTATTTTCTATATTGGTTCGTCCTCACGACTAATCTCACTGCAAACACACCCCAGTTGCAAATTATAATCAGGCTCTATACAGCCGGGTTCACTCTGACTGGTGTGAAAGTATGGGTCCCCGGGGCTTAATTCTAAAATCCTATCTGTATTAGGCCTGTTTTTTCTGACTGGCTGAGGCCTAGGCACACTTCTTACCAAATAATATCAGTGTCCACGTGCCAGTCTCAGTTCGTGAGCTAGTAAAGCAACCTGCCAACGTGCAACACACACGTCTCGATTTCAGCGAATCCAAAAGCTTCTGCAACAGTATACTTCCCAGAAGACATCTATGCCCATAATGAGGTGCTTTGTGTGTTGTTTAGGTTTGGCAACTGTTGATTTTGAGACCGATCTACAACCTCAAGTAGAGTTGCAGAGGGAAGTGGGGTGCTACTTTTGCTGAGTGGTAGTCAACGGATGACGGCGCATTGACGTGGGAACGAAGTCAAACAGCCAAATCATTTACGGCTGTTACGCTGCCTGTCTGGGTTTAAGTTTAACTCACACGAAAAGCCAAACGCTTTCCGTTTGACAGGTGGGCGACGCGGCTGTTAAGCTGCCTGTCTGGGTTTAACTCACACGAAAAGCAAACGCTTTCCGTTTGACAGGTGGGCGACACAAAATAGCTCGGTTAACCTAGAGAATGGCGACTGCCTAAATGGATGGCTTGAGTGTGAACGCTGCTTTTTCACGCAATCAGTCACTTGCATGGGTGGAAGAACAGAGTGGGACCTATGAAGCAAAGGTTGGAATATAGTATCCACTTTAAAATAGGTATTGAACCCTCAGTTTTCTGGTCTGGTGTATGGAAAACTGGCTGCAAACACGGAGCTTTTCTTCACCCAGTGGAGAACGCATACATGGCCCGACACCCGTAGTGCAAGTATTCAATGGAACGGACTCTATCGGAAGAACACCTGGTAGCCTAAAGTACAAGCTTGAGATGTTGCTTCCTTTTCTGGAAAGTATACTCCATATCTAAGTCCTATAGTGAGTGCAACAGTTGTTCACTGCGAATTCGACCATCTTTGTAGAATTTTTGGGCCAACCAAATGAGTAAATTTGCCAGCGGTCCGTTTAACAGCACATTGCGAACGGTTATTGACAGTGTCCAAACGTTCGTCTGAGTGAAACAATTTCCGAGAGGCGACTTGAGCATGGTTTCTTCAGACAATCCCCAGGTAGGAATGGAATAAGCTACCCTAAATGATATCACCTGTTGGGAAGGACTGCTGTCGCTTCGGGAAAGAATCCCTTATCCGATCAGACACCAAACGCTCCGGGATTAACGTAACAATGCAACTATCCCAAGATTAGCTGTATTCTGAAGAATTCAACACTGAACCGTAGCTGACGGGGAAGGCTATTGCGATATATCTGGGGGTGATGATTGTAACTAGTGGTAAGCATCGTTCCACCACCGCAGAGGCGCTTGGTGTAATGCGCAGGTCAACACCATTAATTCTTTCGACCTGTTACAATTTCATTTCTAAATCACTTCAACACAGGTACGGGTTGTTTCATACAGTACGCCATTGGTATATTGACCATATTTCATAACGGCACATTTGACTTTCATCATCCCAGGCCTTGTGAAAACAGTTTTCCTATTGAATCTCCCGTCATATCCTGATTTTTCCGATATTCCTAACTGGTCAAAAATGGGGTTTATTCCGCCAGACTACACGGTTTGGTGCGCGTTATCCACATCCGAGATCATAACGATTACCTTATTTGATCGATCAACCAGTTCGGTCGATTCCCATCTAATCGTTCGGCCAAACTCGACACAGGAACCTGTCAACTGGTGGATAATTGATACTATTTCGCAACCTTGAAAGACACATAGTGACAAAATAACGTACCTGGTAATCTATGGGGCATTCATCCATTGAAATTTTGTCCTGTGAAGTACCGTAATGGAACACTCTGTTATTGATTGAATTACATGCTAGTTATAAATAGGTTCGACACTAGAATGTGTTGGAGCTATATCTCGTCTAGAAGGCCTCAAAAGACAATCGACAATACAAGTGTGAAATCTAGCTCACTTGGATCCGTTTGATGGAGGTATTTCGCAATCGACTTTGGGACTAACCTACAACCACCTGCTGTTTAGAAATTCCATGACACGTTATATCCTCAACCGGTATCGTCACCTAGCGCCACTCCCCCCTCAATAACGGGGTTCAAATTACGTGACGAATTCTCCAATGGACGTAACAGTCATTCGGCGAGTTTTATTTTCCCTCTGAGCTACTTATATAGGAGGCAACTAGCTCAGAGAGAGAATAAAATTCGCCCGGTGATTGAAACCTCCATAAGAGCAATCGTCACACGAGGAACCAGGCAACAAGCGTGACCACGTGATGTGGACCCCTTGATTGAAGGTAAGCGATGCTATTGCCGGTCTAATTGCATGTTGATCACTGACAATCAGCCGGGAGATCAAGGGTTCGTCAGATGCGCCCCGCTTGATGACTTCCGATAAGGATGAAACAGGTCTACCGTGCTCCTCGGCCTTTCGCTATAGATTTTCACCCACATGGCAATCTCATTTCTTCTTCAACGACTCTATGATCCAGGGATGGTCACACACGTTTTATCTGAGTGGATGCTCCTTTCTGCAGATCTTTTAGTCTGGATATCCCGGTATTTCTCATTAAATGTTTCAATACGGATCATTAGATGTTCCGATTCGAAATTCAGCTGTTCCAATTAGGACACACGAAGTATTCGGAGGAATGTGACTATGAAGGACTTATGTTACGAATTGGATACCCGCCTTGGACATCCTGAAGGCACGGTATTCCCATCAGACCTTGGGCATCCTATCAAAGCATATTCAGTACAATAACGGGAAATAGGGATTTCCCGTGATAAAGCAAAAGCAAAAGATAGGAAGAAAGCGGACAATATGGCAAAGGTGTACTGGCTCAGGTTACCACAACTTCTAGAACCAACTAAAGGGAAAAATAAGAACTAACAGTACTGCAAGCGATAGTCAAACCACGTAAGCGCAAGCAGTACTCGACGTGGAAATACAAGTTGAGGTCTGCTCCTCTGGTGGGGAGATGTTTGGTCATGTCGACCCATATCCGCCGGTGACTCCAACAACTCACGTGTCACGCGCCAGGATTCTCGTCCAGAGAGACGGCAATGCCGCTGTGACTAGACTTATACGTATGCAACTCAAGTTGTACTGACAAAGCACGACCCGACAAAGAGCAAAAACGTGTAAGAGCGTTTGAAAACTGTAATAACTTATTCACAAATGCCACAGTATGCCATCAATACTATCACATGTCACTTCATTCATGGAAGCTACCGAAACAAGTACCAAGTAAGGCTACATAAAACAGTAAGAGCACGTGATTAAACAATGTGAAAATGGTTAATTGATACGGTTGACCAGCTGCGTATGGCATGGAGTAGAGGCGTCAAATATTAAACATTTCAAATCGGTCAGATGAAGAGAGGAGAGGGAATGAGAGAAATCCGATTGCGTAAACAGCACCGCTGATAGTTATTCCGTTTTCCTTTCGGAATCCTTCTTGCTGTCGGAGAACGCGACAATAACAAAGCTAAGTAGAATGAGATGGACAACCACGATGGCGACTACAGCACCGTATAAATAGGCTGAAGAATTAGTGACGTTGAACACTTCTGAAACCAAACAGTAAAGTTGGGGGCCAAGAAACTCACCCACGAAAACACACTTCGAGGTGAAAAATGATGCCAGAGGTAAGGTGACGATCAGTAGACTGAAAAACACCAAGGTCTTTGTTGCCGCTGGATCAAAAATAGCCATTTTTGTGCTCCTTATGAGCACACGATAATCACGCGAGTGGCTGAAATGATAAGTAAGGAACAATGATGAGTTGAACCGGCAGCAATCGATACCCGAAATGATCGAAGCGAATAAGTTCACCAGGCTCAACATGTTTACCGAAACACGTATAGTTCATTCGCTCACACACAGGCCTCCGTTTTTGAGGTATTATCGGATCTCACAGAGTGAAGCTCAGATTTGTGGCCCCTATCGTGAACTTTAGCGTCAAGAGTTACAAAATAGAGCACAAAATTAAAGGATAGTATTGACGCAAATAATCATGTTTTGGCTGCTTATTACCTGAGTATGGTACAGCGTCCAAAGTAATATCACCACCACAAAACTGTACAAGACTGATTCACGTGTGGAAGGCAGTGATGGACTGAGGCCACTGGTTCGCAGAATGTTAGCCTTTAGATTGTAGGGAATCTGCAGAGTAATGAAACATCGCCGACGATGATATCAGGACGACCTCTGCAGCTAGCGCACTGCACGCAGAACCGAAACGCACCGCATGAAAACGTACGCAAAACACCGCTCAAATCACACACGAAGGTGGTTTGCACAGCTGTTACTAGGAAAGCTAATCCGCGGATGCTTCGCGCAACTAGAGAATTTCCAATCAAGAACGTCTTCACACACACCAGCGGAATTTGTGGACTTGGGGCAAACTTTATTAATCACTCCATAGCGACTGTCGCCTGAAGGAGAATGAAGGACCGTTGCGTGAGATGTATTTGAACGAGATCAATGAATGCACCGGTCAGACAAAGTACGACAAAAGTATTGCGTACTAAAGGTAGTACAAAATAAAAATTTCCATTTCAAATAATAAGGCAAATATGTACATAGATATACAAGATGTAGTATCAATGTGTTGTATTCAGACCCTTCCCACTGATTACTAAACTAAGGAGTGCATTGAAGTCCTCCACACTGCCTGTTGTTTTGCTCTGCCTGTCCGAAAAGTCAGCTTCCAGTTCTTGTTTAAGCAAGGACACCTCCTTCAAGCTCGCATCCACTGCACGGTTGGTTTGGTTGATTAATTTGGTCAGTTGATCCGAAGGCACTGCAGAAGCTCGACTGGATTGTGCGAGACACTGAGATTCCAGCTAGAAACGGATGAAAGTGGGTCCGGATATAATAATAGTTGTAGGCTTTCGTATGAGGGAAAATGGAATCAAACATCTTTCTTCAACAACAGAAAATCGATAATTTAGTAAACCGGGACACAGAGTATAAGGCACCGTGTATGACTTTCATGATCTGCTGTAGTTTTTATCTGCATGCATTATTTCTATCAGTCCTCACTTGTGAATTCAGTCATCCATGTCGGTTCGATGGAGTACTGTGATTCTATGGTGAGAAAGGCACATTCGGGAGCCTGCGAGACGGCAGAAGCATGCATCGGGTACTTATCAGGTAACACTCGTAAAGGAAACTACTCACAAGGTTGCTGAAAACTCTTCGACAGCCCACGACCGGTTTCGCCCATCTTGTGGCTCATCAGGTGGGCGCAGTCCCCAAGTTTCCGTCAACCTTATGTCCTACTTGAAACCATAGAATACATTCGGCTATCCGTAGTGTATCTTAGATTTGAAGGTTAATGAATCAGGTGGGGCAGTCCCCAAGTTTCCGTCAACCTTATGTCCTACTTGAAACCATAGAATACATTCGGCTATCCGTAGTGTATCTTAGATTTGAAGGTTAATGATACCTGCCTTATAAGTTGAAAATAGAACTGATCCCGTGCCTTCCGTAATCAAGGCCGAGACGTCTGTGCATGATCGGAACATCAAGTACCGCACATCATTCGGTTTAGAGGTTAAAATAACTCTTTACCACGAACGAGTGAAGCAGAGCTGCAACATTTGCGTACACAAGACTCTGAATGAGAAGACTCACATGTTCCGAAACTTTCCCGATGAATCTGATGAGGTTTTCAGGGTAGTGACTAATGGAAAAACGCCAAACACTGAGAAGCAAAAAAGCCAAACAGTCCCTGTGTTATTACAACCGGCCTAACGTTGAGGCTCAACTCAGCTCATCAAGGCATAAATACACATGAAGGTATGGGGGTCTACAATAAGAAAAGCTTGCGTGAAGCTCACGTACCGTCGGAAAATCAATAGGTTGAATTTGGCTGTGGAAGTAGTGATGAGCCTTGGTAGTTTTATTAGGATGTCCTCTATAAAGGCAGTTTCTGGTTGGAATATCAAGTACCTGTTGTAACAGTTATAGAATAGTGGTCATCTTTCTAGCCATTTGGATAGGCCAACTTGCCCCCATGCTTGTTCCATAATAATCAACCACAGTGTTCATTGTTTAATATCCAATGATTGAAGTATTTTTAATCAAAGACAAGCGTTCAAAAGCAACAGCCCTACAGCATGGCAATCTTGTGGAATATAGGTAGATCGGGTACGCTGCTTGGTTGTTGGTCTGTTCGCTGAGCTTGGCAGTTGGATTGCAAACGTTCCATTACCAATCGAGGTGACATCATCAGTGCGGGGTTGGGTGGGTCCCATCCAATCCAACTGGCAAGCTCGGCGAACAGATCAACAGGCAATCCTACAGTATCCACTCATTCGAGGGTAGCCCAATGGAAGTCTTATCAGCGGTCACCCCACATGGACTTTCCGGTAGCTTTTACACGGCGGTGGCAATTTACAGTGGAAATGAAGCAAACTGATTTATTTGTCTACGTGATAGCTATATCCACTCAAATAAAACGTAGTCAAATTTGAATGCTGGGCCGGTTAGTTAGGGAGTCAGCAAACGTAGCGTGACACAAGCGGACTACCAGCGTCATCGTATTGTGAGAAGCGTAAGGTTCACTAAAGCGCGTGAATTGTACGGTTCATTGCTGGTTGCAGTAGCAAAACAATTCGCAGTTGATTGTCATGTTGGTATGGTGAGGGTAGTAATCACAAATCAATAACGGAGGCAAGTGGCACATTGCATTCGCGACAGCAAAGCTGGAGAGTACGGAGTGGAAACAAGTGTTTCAGGTTAAATGCATTAAAAATAAGACAGAGGGAAAGTTGAATCGGTGAGTTTGTGTTTATGCATGACCATTTGTTTTTCAAGGGCAAATCAGAGGATTTGAATCGATTATCACCGTTCACTGAAGGCCATAGTGTTTGTTGAGTTAGCTTGTGGTAACACGGGTTACAAAGGATATGTGTAATCTTCATCTAACACCTAAAGGGAAGTAGGTGACCTTTACTCAGTTATTTTTTTTTCGGATGGCAACGGCCGTTGGGTCGTCGAGTGTAGTATTTCCGGGAAATTCGGGTGTCAGAAAAAAGTTAAGTAGAAAGAGGTCAACCCAGAAAACGAAAACGAAAGGGTTAATTTTTTCCTTTTGCGATTTCCGGTTATCACAACGTTCCGTTAGCAGCAAGGACCAAAGTGCTGTAGACCGGACTTTTCTTATTGGTTTCAGGCAACGAGTTAGGTTGTCGTCCGCACAAGAGATAAAATATCAGTTCGCACTCACAACCTGCACAACCGATGGATGATACAGACCCCGAAGCACCGAGACTCAGCTGTAGTCACACATTAATCACTCACCACCCAGTACATATAGTGCCAATATCGACTCAGCCTTAAGCAAGCGGTCGCTTAAATGGCATCATTTGGTGTACTTAATGAATGGAACAAGGTCGAGTGTATGTAGTGGTCAGAACAGAAGCATTGACAGATCGACAAGAAATAGTTAGTCGGGTGCCAATTGGCTAGGAGGTCCAGAGACGGAAAAAGGCAAGTGCTTTGAAGCGCATCTCATCTAAGGGCACATAATAGTGCATCCGCCATCACCCATTAGGTCTTGGCAGTCTTGCTTAAAAATACTACTCAAAGGGAATTGATATCAACGGCTTTAAGCGGAAGAATCGCTTTGAAAAAAACAATGCGAACATATATTATGATGAAGATGTACGCAGATAATATGATGAAAGCGGCAGCCAGTGACACAATATTGTACGTTTTCCCCAGATCCTTGAAAAGATCATGTTAGAATACAAAAAGACACGATTGCAGAAGACTCCAATTCTAGAATACCATAGGCGAGAGGGCACCGAATGACACAAATATCATTGAAACATGAGCTGTTTCCAATTTCATCAATACCCTTCCTAAGTGCTACAAAATTAACCTTTGGCTGCATTAGCCTATACGGATCAGCACGCCTCAACTCTCGCACTAATACACTATAGATAGACAAACCAAAAGTACTGGGCGTTTTTACCCATCTACACCCATAAAAGCACGTTTGCAATCCAATTGTGGTGCTTTCGCACACGTGAACCTATACATGGTCCGCCATAACCCATAAAAGTAACCCTTGACAGTCGCGCAGATAATTCTATTGTCTGGAATTCAGCTTATTAAGGGGACTGTTTAGCAATATAATAAGGTCTACCCAAGAGGAAAATATTGGTTTCGTTATCAGAGATGGCCAGCACAATATGAACTGTTTCCCGCATTCAGCGAAAAAGACAGCGCGGCGTCTTGATCCCATTTCTAGTTGTCCAAAGGGGCTATAGGCAACCCCCCGGATCATTTATTTCATTCTGGGAGAAAAGCACCGTGAAAATGTACAACGAACTGCATAATCACAATAACCTCTTAAAAACGCCAGTAAAGATGGGTTGTCATACCGTCTGAATCGAAGTCGCAATATTGGAAACGTAGAAGTTAGAAACATAAACAATTCAGTTATTGAATATTCGTTTAAGGGAGCACACATGTGAAAAAGCAACATACCTTAGGGTCCAATTTAGTGCGCAGATACTGCGGAACAGTGTCATGATTAAACAACGCCAGGCGGTCCTCAGTTGCTTTGGCTAATGTTGGGTCAGGTTCCGGATTAAGCAGCATCGGCGTCAAGGCTAGAGTATGTTCACTCGAAAAGCGGTCCGATTCCAAGACTTTCCGGATTTCACTTAGCTCAGACGCACATAAAGCTAATGTGCTCAAATATCGGGGCCAATCACAACTTTCTCCCTACCGCAGGTTAGAGGACGGTTGAAAACTGGAAAATACCTGTGTTTCAAGTTTAATCACCAAATCTTGCACTTTTTGCTTCAGTTTGTACAAAGCATTGTACAATGTCTTGACGCTCTCCATCTGCCTTCGTTCTGTGGCCTGCATGTTCGCAAAATTACCACAAATGAGCCTACAACAGTGAAGCGATTGAACGAAGTAAGGGAAACAATCCAGTCAAATGATAACTGAGTATCTCAGTGATATCCTATTCACGGAGCTGGTACGCCCTCCCTTATGACTTAGCTGCAGTAAATCAAGCAGTGCGACTGAGAAACGTTTCAGTAACTGTAAGGCAAGGAAACGTGTGGCGAGCTGGGATTCAACTCGTTGTAAGGTGACCTGCGGGTATTATTCTCCATTGATATTGGATACTAGCCGGAGAGAATAAACACCCAGCCAACGGACCATGCAGTGGGCCAGACAATTCGTCCGGAATGGTCTAAGGGCGATACAAGCTATCTAACTGCTTTGCTGTGATCTCGTCTTTCTACTTGTCAGTCTGATAGACAACCGGGACGTCAAACGCGTAACCCGCCAATATAGTCTGGTTTCTTTGGCGCTAAAAGTAAGGTGATTGTGTGGTGTCCAAGGAAATGTAAAGAATGAAAACCTCTTGACACAAAATACGCGTCTGATTATTAAACTGGTGTAAACCAGGTCATTCGTTTTATATATGTATATATAGTACAACACGATACATGCTAATAATCATTACTAATAACATCATATAAATGACAATATGATACATAGTATATGATATACATGACATTACTACTTTTCTGTTTCTCCATTTCAGTATATGTAGTTGACTCTAGAGCAGATTAAAAGCCGACCTTCAATATTTTCTTTAAAGGTGAAAGCTAGGAGCATTTTCCGAGCTTAATGGGTAGCCATCTAACTGAACTGAGTTGCTTCAAAGCAGAACTTGATCAACCATGACTCTTCCACGGGAGTTCCAGGACAGAAAACGATGCGCACAAAAAATCCATGTTTCGGGTAATTTCGATGGCTTTACAGGGTTCGTCTCATCATTTCGCACGGCAAAGTGAACTCCATCCAATATCAAACCGCGGCTACTACTTGATTCAATTCAGTGCACATCCAAGTTAAGAGGCTATTCATTGACGTCAATTAGCGACTACTGAAAACTGGAACCTTCACTGATGAATTTCCGTAGATATTCTAATCTCGCCTGTTGCTGAGACCATCAGAGGAAATCGACAGGAATACGATCAATTCTAATGCCGTCCTTATTATTCATTAACATCCAACCAAACAGTGGTTCACGTGGCCATTTTGTTAGAGAAACCATCTCCGATGGATGGTCGCAGATCTTTTTCGATCAGCTTGTTTCTCGAAACCGGTGAAGCCTGTGTACTTACTGTTATACTTATAAGTCTATCCACAACAATTTGCCAACTGTCAACGGTGGTTCTGGTGGCTGCAGCTTATGGCAGCGGGTACTGTAGGATGGAGATATAGAAGCATAATAAGATAGGATGATGCAACGAGTAGACGATTAACAGAAAAAGAAAGGAAATAGCATCACCAATGGTTGCACGACATCATCATATCGGTGAGTATCTTCAAACATTGATGTGATGGGTTTTTGATACTCCACCCCCACAGGCGGCACGTGCCAGAAAAGTCAAGTCCCTTTGTCATGTTTTTGACGCTCTGTCCCAGGCCAGATCTATCCATTTTGTGGCATCTGTCAGCGGACATATGCCTCAACAAACACGGCACACCAGAGCACGGCCGGCCTAGTTGGTGCATGCCTCAACAAACACACACCAGAGCACGGCCGGCCTAGTTGGTGCAGCTGGATCAACTGATCAATTGGACAAGCATATGACTTGTTAAAGAAAACGATTTGCAGCAACTCAGCATCGCTGGTGTGAGGTTCCCATGGTGCTTGTGTAATGCTCTGAAGGTACTGATGCCCAACGAAATCAAGTTTCTCATGTTTTAAGCTCAGAGCGATCAAGCCTCACAACTGCAGATCACTGGACAAATTGGCACGCTATAGATCCCGTCTTTTACTGGCAACCTAATGTTACTTGAACGCCAGGGATGCCTAACTCGAAAGGAAGTAGAAAGCGCTTTAACAATCCTGGCGTTCACTTCGTCAGTAATGCTTCCATCCGCCTTGTCACAACTACCTAAATACGTAAGTGTCAATCAACAGAATCAAAAGCAGCTTTCAGATTAAGGAAAACGACCAACGTGGGATGTCTGAGGGGCGGCGCTGTTCAAGAGTTTGTCTCAGGGTAAAGATATGGTCGATGCATCCTCGACCACGGCGAAACCCAGCTTGATTCTCACGAATATGTCTCTCCCGATAATCCAAAAACCTGCGCAAAATAATGCCAGAGAGCACTTTAGATACGACCGATACCAGGTTGATACCACGATGGTTTTTACATGACGGTCTTGCTCCCTTTTTGAAAACTGGGATGACGGTCGAGGCGCTCCATTCGGCCGGTATTGTTTTTGTTCCAAATCTTCTGCAGTGTTTGTCAGATTGTTCATCAGGACCTCTCCACCTTCTTTGAAGAGTGCGGGGTGTACACCATCCGGGCCAGGTGCCCTGTCGCGCTTCAGGATTGAAATCTCACACTGGATTCCGGTTGCTTATGGTGGGTTGGTGTTAATGTTCCATTCGGGCCCACTTGGTTCTTCCAGCGGTTGCGTTGAAGGAGACCAGATGAAACGTTCTTGGAAGTGCTCAACCCACCGCTCAAGATGACGATCGAGGGAGTGAATTGCCATTTCGTCTTTCTCGCACATTGTCTCACTGACACCCGTCTTCTTTTGACCCGTTTATCGAACCAGTTAAAACAGGGCGCTGTTTCTGCCTGCAGCGAAAGCGTTATCCATCCTCTGGGCTTTCGAAATCCACCAGCGTCCTCTGTCGTTCCTGAGGCTCCTGATTATCCGGTATCTGAAGGATCTGTGTACGCCATCAATTCGCTAGTTGTCGGTATGGTCGTTCCGGCGGCAGTAAGATCTACTGACCTCGAAGATATCCGGTGTTTATTGGGTCGAGTCAGATGGGCTGGACAAACAGTTCTGAAAGCTGACAGTACCGCTTCATTAACTCGCCTCCATTCATTCACCAAGGACTCTTCGTCGTTTACCTAAGTGTGCGTTTCCCGTAGCTTTCTAGCCAGATCAGCTCGATACTCTTCAGCTACTGAAACTTGTCGAAGGTGATGAACAGAGCTGCTCTCTTTCGGCACGAGTAGTGCTGGCGGAAAGCGAAGTGCTAAGCAGGCCCGCACGATGGCGTGATCAGAGTCCATTTGCGTATCTTAAAAGGAACGGCAATCCTTAACTGAGGCTCTCCATCGGTAACTGATAGCCATATGGTCCAACTGAGTCTAAGACTGCGTTGCGATAGATGGTCTCTAAGTAACTAGGTGTGTGCGTTTGTGTTGGAAGTTCGTACTCGTGAGGAACGGACGATGATCTGTGCATAACTGAAAAAGCCACTCTCCAATATCCGTACGCTCAGCATCGACTCCAAATTGACCACCTAATTGTGCTTCTTCCGGACTTAGTCGTCCAAATTGGGCATTGATATCACCTGCTAGGATTACTATATCTGTCCTTCTTACCAACCGAATCAGTCGTGAGAAGTCTTGATAAAACTCATCCTTCTCAGTCTCATAACTGTTGGGGCGTACGCTGATACGAAAAACATCGTTTACCACATAGACCTGTGTTAATCTTAATGGAGCCAGACAACCGCACAGCGCAAAGGCGACTGTTTACTGGGATTCAGTCCAGTAAGGCACTTCAGCCTTGGGGCTGAGTGCAACTCCAACACCGTAGATACCGTGAACATTGCGTCAGGATCACTGGATGCCCGAAGAGTGAAATGTGGAACATCTGGGCTCATCCTAAGCGGCTTGAGGAGCACGACCGAGGTGGAGTCTTGTATGCGTGTTTCGGAGGCACAACATACACCGATAGAGAGGTTTCAGTCTGTTGTCTAATTTGACACAGAGTACGAGCGCTGAACACTGCAACGTGGATCAGATCTTTTGAGGTTGATAAGTGATGATTTTTGTTCATTTTTTTTCTATGCGATAGTTGAGGCATGGAATAGTGGCTGGGGGTTGGAAGATGGGTCGACTGCACTGCACTGTACGATGAGTTGGTAGGGAATGAGGGGGAAGGCCGGTGAGCGAAGAGCTGCAAGGGCTAATGGCACTTCCAGATTGCCCAGACCGAGGGAGGGGGTTTAGCTGAGCCTTTGACCCACAAGGCAGTGGGATAATGTAGGGTTTTGTTCGGGGATCCTAACCCTAGCCTCTGCTTCAAAAGGCTGGACCGCGAGAAAGCGGTTGGTAGGGTTCTCTTGGGGGTCTCTGCCCGGGGCCGATGACCCAATAGTCTGACCTACTTGGCTGTAGGGGGCCAGCCTGGCCCGAGGGCGCAGGGAGTAGGGCATTACTGTCTCACTCCTAATGCGGCTGCGCACAGCAGGTGGCTTCTGAGCAGCACCGGACTCTCGTTTCAAAAGTATTTCGACCGTATTGGATGATGCGCGGGTGGTCACAGTCAACGGTTGGACAATCAGAGTGTGCGGTTTTTGGGGCCGACCTTTTTTTAATACGTCCTCCCTCGGTGTAAGGCAGCATCGCTGCTTCCATAAATATGGACATGCTGGCAGCCTGGGGGCAACACCTTACCGTCTTCACACTCCTACCGCAGAGGACGGTACGACTTTACCTCCAAACCGCTTCGTAATACTATTACTCGCAGTACGGGATTCGCTGTTCTTCGTCTGGCTGCTCTCCGTTGGCCTTCCTGCCATGACTGAAACTTCATGAACTGAGTTCCAGCCAGTATAGCCCACAGGGTCATTGCAGCACAGAAGCCCGACCACCACGACAAAGCGACAGCTTTAGGTCGGCAACAAGCGGGATAACATCGTCCGCATGGTTCCAGCCTCCACGGTTTTCCAAAGGAAAGATTCACGCCGGAAAGACAAAGAATATGTTTCTTTGATAGTCAATTCGGAGAAGATAAAGAATATGTTTCTTTGATAGTCAATTCGGTTGTGAAGTTGAAAAAGTACGGTAACCAAGGGTAACCCTGACGGGTACCAGTTTTGGGGATAAGCTTGGATAAGTACTTTCCGTAGACTTCCACAAACCCACTGATTTTGGACTACAAAGACTAGAAAAGTGGTAAATAAGTTCTGCACACCCTTGAGAAACATCGCTACGAAGCAGCGCGATCTACGTGTCGTAATGTGGAAATGTGGTCGACGCACGGTTCGGACACAACCCCACTTGTTTCTCACAACTCCGCGTGCCACGAGTGCTAAGAAGACTGCGTGGGATAACACATGTGAATAACTTAGAAGAGACTATGACTAAACTGATATATGCACGTCTAACACATTTCTGAAGACAGGAACGATATAAGATGTCTGTTATACCCTGGCAGTTCATTCACCGTACAACTACTGTCAGACTGTGAACCGGTCCTGCTCATTCATCCTTTAAAAAGAAAGGGAGATAATCGTTGTTTTCTCGAAAGTTCAACTTCCTTTTTACCTCGATTTCTGCTGGAATTGAGTAGTTCACATCACACCGTGATGCTCCTGAGCACTTCAGGTCAGATAAACCGTTCATCGGGGTGTTGCGTCAACTGAAGCAGGCGGTGGGAATCGGAATGGACTTGTAGGCTGCATCCCTTCACAATGACTTGGAATGGGGCTTTCTCAAAATGGTGTTGCGGATAGTTGAAAAAGAGTACGATCATTTCCAACTGCCATCGGCTTTTCCAGTCCTTGAGCTTAATTTCGCGGCCACTCTTCCCGGTCAGTCTTCAGGCTGCGGGTCAGGTGTTGTTTCGGAAATTTCCTCGTTGAGACGTACTGTCATTCCGATGGAAGCCCCTTCCTCGTCTCGATCAGGGAGACAGATCATTAAAACATCCAGCTTGAATTGGACCCTGGTCCCAGTTTGGGACATAATCAAACATCGGATTCATAGCGTTTCGGATTTCGGATCATTCCTCCTTCAGCCAACCGATTAGTTTCACGTCTGTAGGTTGTATAGACAGCTGAAGTGCATAGGCATCTTTGAAGATCAAACCTTGAGGCAAAGAATACCATAGCCGTGAACGGTCCTGTCATGACTATATAACCCATACCTTTGCATAACCCATTAACTCGTGATTCTCACTCTATTTTCTTTTCACGACAGTTATTAGACGATTAAAGCGTACATTACGTCTTCCTATTCTGTCTCCTTTCTAATCCCGTCCTGGAACTACTCGACTCTCGCAACAGGTCCTTTGATTGTTCGCTGGAAAACTAGCTGTAACATGGCATGCAATAAAACGCGATCTGACTCCATATATGTGTTCCAAAACGGACGACAGTCTAGAACACAAGATTACCATTTACTGGTAGCTGCTATGTGATCAATCTGAGTGCTTGACTGGTTAGGATTTGGAGGTCGGTGAGCAGCTATGGGAAGCGATCACTGTTATCGGTCCCGGGACTCACTATGTCAAATTTTCGGTGCTCACACAAGCTTTAATTCTTCAAGTCGCCCACCAGAATGAAGATATCAGTGCGATTCGCCGTCGGCAGAAGTTTCGGAATCTCGTCATGAAGGAAATCTTTGACAGTGTCGCTGCCGAAATCTTTCGGAGTATATGAAGGAACAACGGATAGATTTCGAGTTTGAAGGCTCTGGTTACGAATTCTGAAAGACCGGATCAGGCTGACTGCACACAATCGATTGTTCATAGTAAGCCAGCCAGAGGGAAGTTCTTCGGCCCTCGTATCCACATCAATGAGACCTCAGTGAACCACTTCTGGATAACCTGATAGCTGGAGAGTGAACCGTGAATGAATCGAGCCACCTTTGGCCGCATTCAGATACATTATCGTAGTGAATTTTGTACACGCGCTTGGGGGGCGCAGCACACATCCATTTTTACAGAGGAAACCACGAGCATGAAAGGTCTGTTGATCTTTCTGATAGGGGCAGGGGATTGAATGCCACGGAACGGATTCCTTGGTGTCAGCAGCACATATTGGCGTTTTGCTTTTTAAGGCGGGTGTAAATTATAGAGAAATTATAGAGATAGCATCAGGCAGGAGTGCATTGGCCTGGATAGCACCAGAGATGGGAAGGAAAAATTAGGTGGCTGTTCACTGATCTGAAGCTGCGTTGGCAGACTGTTTGGACCCGTATAGACGAAGGTTGTTTGAAATATCCCATCTCGGTATGTTGGTTCAAACCTACAGTCTATAAAACAACGGAATAAAGTGGGATTTCATTCCAGCACCTAAGAGTTCGATCCGCATGGTGACAGTTACCAGTCGTCTTTGGAGAACACTGACAACCGTCGAGTCTTTGAAAGATCTGAACCACTGGGAGCAATGCCAGTGTGCAAGTCCCGGGGAAATTTCGTTCCCCACGGTTTCAGATGAAAGCAGAAGAATTTCAAGCAGTACATCGATAAATAGTTGGAGAGCAGTGAGAGAAGGCTTGCTTGTCTTACATCACTGGATGAAAATATGCCGTGTACTTTTGCGCGCCCACAGGAGTTCACATACAGTGCCCTCATGAGGAATATAAATCTAGAAGTGAAATCCTTGATCGCCAAACACTGCCAAAGTAGCCAAAGATCAACAGAGTCACAAGCAGCCCTCAGACCAAGAAAAATATCATCATCAAAGCATGATATCAGCGGTTCACCACCGGTGCTCCATTGCCGTAATGTGTCATGGGCTAGGATACCATCAGGTCACTCCCACCTAGACAAGACCATTGGGGTCCTCAACCAAAGCCTTTGGATGAAGAGTCTAACCGCGAGACAGCGGCATTAAGTAGGAAATACAAATGCATTACCATTTCTACCGAACAAGTTGCCACGTGTTCCAATCCCCAGCTTGGAGGACGAGGATCAAGAAAAACGACCACCGCGGGGCGTTCAAAGGAGTGGCGTCGTCCAAAAACTTGTCCCATAGTAAAGATATGGTCAATGCATACTCAGCTAGGGCAAAACCCTATTTGATTCTCACGGGATAGTATCTTCCGATGACCGACCAACGTGTGCAAAATTATGCCAGA